ACGTGGTCTCCTTTTTCCTCTGGCTAGAGTTGGGGATGTGAGTATGTGGCAAAAGAAAGAATAAAAAAAACGCAGGGGGGCAGGGTGGGAGTCCCAACCTGAGAACTTATTTGATTTCTGACATTTCATGGCAAAAAAGGAGAAAAGCAAAACATGAAATTTGCAGTTTGGACAAAAAAAACAACAACCCTGAACAAGTTCAGGAAAAAAGGAAGCCTTTTGTGTTCATTTTCAGGTTAAAAACCAGGCAATTTTTCATCAGAGAAAGGTTTGAACGGAAAAGCAGCAGCAGTTAATCCATGATCTAACAACCCAACAGCAGCAGTTAGTACAACAGGTGGTCACCATGCTATGGCTGCCCCCTACAGCAGGACCAATGAGCCTCGATCTGGAAGCGACCCCCCTTCCATCAGGCTTACAAAGATAGGGCCTGATGGCCTTCCCTGAAACCTCAGCAGGGTGTCACAGCAGCCTGGTGGCCCGTCGAACCAATGGGCAGGTTTGCTGGCCCCGTACCTAACTGGGATGGTGCAAATGGCTTATCACGCTTTAGACCATGTTACTGCTCAAGATTATGTGCAAGTCAAAGCAGCCGTTAACGCTCTGGACATCGGGGAAGAGACGTTCTGGCTATGTTTCCAGAAGGATGGGATCCTCCGGGAAGACGGCCATGTCTGATCACCCTCAGACCTGAGATGAAAACAGGAGGTCCAGTTGGCAGAGATGATTTTACTTGAACAATTCTCCCAGATATTCCCCCCTGGGGAAAAGGACGAGGTCCTATGGCATCGACCGGAGACGACGGCTGATGCTGTTTGCTTCAGGGAGAATTATCTGGCAGCTAAGACCCCTGTGATGATGACACCTTGCAAGGGGCCTCCTAGGGCCAGCACAGACCAGTGGCCACGCCCACAACAAGGGCACAAGGTTGGTTGGTCTGAAAACTGACCATGGTCCATCCTTGCTCCGACTGGCTGGTGGTGGGTTTCACCAGCTCTTCTGCCAGGGATGGAGGCAGCTTCTCTGTTATGTTTTGTATTGAATTAAAACCAAGGCCTTGCTCTTGCAGGGGGATCCACACAGGCATAAGGGTCCATCTAAACGCACCCCACTGCAGGATGTGTTATTGCTGTGGGTGGCCAAAATACTGGGCCACCTGTCAGTTTTTCCCACCAAGCTTCAGAGAACATCATTCCAGGGCTCCCCCGAGCCGCATGGTCTGTTCTCCCTTCTCCCGCCATATGCCCCCACCTTTTCTCCTTCCCCTGCATGTTCTTCTGTTCTCACCTTCTCCATCTCCCCCCGACCCTGCATGGGCTTACGGGTTTCCAAAGTCGAGATCCCCCTCCCTGTTCTCCAAAGTTTGCCCCCTCCTTTCTCTTCTCTCCTGCAGTTCTCCAGCCCTCCCATCTAGCCCCCACCCCATTGCCTTGCTCCTCACTTCCCCGGGAAGCAGCGCAGGGGAGCTGCTCAGCCTAGCTAGGGTTTAGGTGTGCTCTCGTTACACTGTCCAAACAGACACGGGAGGCACACCGTAAGGGGAATCATCATCATTTATTAAGTGCCAGGACACAGAAGACGCGGCTCCTGCCCCCGAAGAAGTTACAGTCTAAACAGCCAACACAAACACAGCTAGTCACCTTCACAGCTCACACTGGTCCTGGGGGAGGAGTAAGTGTGGGGGGGAAACTACAGAAAGGAAGGGGGTATCCGATCAGCAGTGGGGGAAGGGTATGAGGTGGGCGATCTCAAGGAAACCAGGGGGTCAGCGTGGAGAAAACTGCAGAAAGGTAAAAGATACAGACTAGCATCTGACAGGACCCAGAGGGGAACCTACCCAGTCACAGCCGGTTCACAGCTTCCCTCCATCTCCTTGCACGCTTGGTTAGCGGGGTCACTTCAAAGCCGTCTTCACTTTCGTTTCAGGCAGACGCTAACTAGCAGCGTGCAAACGGGCTGCCCCCAGCACAGAAATCCTTCGGTGACCAACCAGCCCTTGGTGGCCGTCCGTGGAGACTGCGAGCCGGACTATTGCAGCAGGCCGGGGGCAAGTTGCACTGGATTCAGTCATGAGGCTGGGTGGATTGTTTTTACCAGCCCGTGTGGCCAAAAACAAATCGAGCCCAGACCAGACTCTTGCTGCTACCAACCTGCCCTCCTCTCCCTGTCTCCAAATGGCAACGAGAGGCAGGATGGTCCAGTGGCTACGGCACCAGCCTTGGATTTCGAGTGACCTCAGTTCAGTTCCCTGCTATGCCACTGACTTCCTGAGTGACCTTGGGTGAGTCACTTAGCCCGTGCCTCAGTTTCCCCAGCTGTAGAGTGGGGATAATAGCCCTGCCCTACCTCCCGGGCTGTTGTGAGAACTTCATCCCATGGACCTTCCAACCCACCAAGTTCCTCCCTCCTGGCTTTCTGCCCTTGTTTCCAGTCACTGACGGCAGGGGAACGCCCTGCACCATGAAGTTCCCTCCAGTTGAGGTAACTTCCACAGCCAGGACAATTCCATTCTATTTTCCTAAGTTCTAGATAGTGTTAACTATACTCTCTCTGCTTCATCCCACCCACCTTGGTCCTTCTCAGGCTCTGCTCTCGTGTGCTTCAGGCAGCGTGGAAGCCATGCCCAGCTCAGTGACACGGAAGCACATGGGGTCGGATCTGTGCCCGAGTTGCAACAGGCGACGCACTCTGCCCCATCTCACTGAAATGGCCTTACAGATGGGGTGGAGGAAGGTTACAACGTACAGGGGCTTGTGACCCGCAGACTCCTTGGTGCCACTGGGCAGAGGGCCCAGGGTTTGCAAGGATCCCCTAGGTCGGATGTACGTCTCAGAGTGCACCGAAGGTCTCTACTCAGAGCCAGTAACCTACCGGTCATCAGAATCACTGCACGACGTATGTACGGAGAATAGTTAAGGAGAGCTGGCTCTGGACTTCCCAGGGTCTTGGAGGGAACAAGGCAGGTCACCAGGAGGCGACACACCTTGGAAATGCTCTTTTCAGGCAGGAGGTAGCAGACCCCGCTCTCCCTCCAGAGCCGTGTGTGACGGGACAGCTCACACCACGGGCCTGGCTGCACACTGAGCCACTGTCCTCTCGCGCAGACTGCACACATGGACACAAACAGCAGCTGCCGTCCTGTTTATGACTAAAGACAAAGGATGGGACTGGTTGAAGTTGGGGGGCAAAGAACCTCCCGGAACCCCTCACCTCGGAGGCAAGCAGCTAGTGGGGGGTGAGCAATATTCTCCCAGCCGCGGGGGCGCTCGGGAAAGAAAAGGCCAGGTCCTACAACACTGCTTATGATTTTATTTTAGCTGGAACCCTCTGCTGTCGCTTGACGCTCTGGGCTTCGTTAAATAACCTTATCCTCGATTTCACCATGTGCCGGGTGGGAAGCGGAGCGGCGAACTGAGGGGCGGCTGGGGGCGGGCTGGTTCCTGGGAAGCAGCAAATCTGTGACTCCTGCGAGTGTCCGGCAGGCCAGGGGCTGGACACTCCAGGGAGACGCTGCAGGCTCAAGGGGGCCTATCGGTAACCAGCAGAGAGGAAGCGGGTCCTGTCAGGCCTAGCAGGGAGGGCTTGTGTTGCCCGCTGGTGTTGGGAAGCTGAGCCCTGGAGGGCACAGACCAAGCTTCCCCACGCTAAGGGCAGGTGGTAACAAGGTGCCCCAGGGACCGTCACTGGGCCCCCCAGCCAAACAGCAGGCAGGTGGGGAAATTACCTGCAAGGAGGAACAAACTATGGAGAGCCCAGGGAAGGAAGGAATCCCCAGCATGATTCCTAGAGGATCACGGCTGGGTCGTCCACGGCCCCGGCTATGAGAACACACGGATCCCGCACAGATTCCCAGGCTCCAACGGGGCAGCAAACTGAGGGAGCCGAATCTCTGAATATTCATGAGTCGGGGGATCCCCAGGCAACACCCGCTAAAACCGAGCTGGGTGCGGCCCTGCCTGGTGCGGGTGTTCCCCAACCCAGGCTGTGGCTGCAGGAGACCCAGGGCCTGAGGCGTGGACGCCCCCTTCCCGTGCTGCCGGGGCCCTTTGACACTCAGGCACAGCGGGACACGGGCTGGGACACTGCAGAGAAATCAGTGCCCAGCCCCGCATGAACAACTCAAAAAGAACAGGAGTACTTGTGGCACCTTAGAGACTAACACATTTATTAGAGCATAAGCTTTCGTGGGCTACAGCCCACTTCATCGGATGCATAGACAGGAACACACAGCAAGAAGATATTTATACACACAGAGAACATGAAGAGGTGGGAGTAGCCATACCGACTGTAAGAGGCCAATCAACTGAGATGAGCTATCATCAGCAGGAGAAGAAAACCCTTTGAAATGATCATCGAGATGACCCATAGAAGGTGCGAGGAGAACTTAACATGGGGAAATAGCACTAATTGAATCTATTTCCCCATGTTAAAATATCCTCACACCTTCTATGGGTCATCTCGATTAGCACTTCAAACGTTTTCCTGTCCTCTGTGTGTATAAATATCTTCTTGCTGTGTGTTCCAGTCTATGCATCCGAAGAAGTGGGCTGTAGTCCACGAAAGTTTATGCTCTAATAAATTTGTTAGTCTCGAAGGTGCCACAAGTACTCCTGTTCTTTTTACGGATACAGTCTAACACGGCTGCTACTCTGAAACATGAACAACTCAATGGAGGTGGGGCTAGGAGGGCCCCATGTCCCCTTCGAACTACCCCCCATCTCCTCACCCTTCCCTCCCAGCTAGGCTCTGCCGGCCCTGAGTCCAGAACAGGGCCCCTCCGCCGCCTCCTCCGTTTTAAAACCAGTCTGACGCCTACTTCTCTTAACAAAAGGCTGCACTCAAAATATAGCTTCGTTCCTGTAAAAATCTCCCGGCGATAAAGTCGCTGCAGTGCATGCTGCGGTGCCAGCCGGCTGGAGCTCCCGGGCGTTGCTTTCGGAGGGAGGCAGCCCCCTGTAAGACCCCCTGGAGCGTGGCTTCTGGCCCTGCTGTTACCCCACATGGCCCGGCCCTGGCCCCAGCCCAGGGAAGCCCTTCCCGGGGTGGATGTTCTGGTGGTAGTAGAGCGAGCGCTTGTAACGGAAGCTCTTGCCGCACTCGGCGCAGTGATAGGGGCGCTCGCCCGCGTGCATGCGCTGGTGCTCCACCAGGTACTGGTTGCGCGTGAAGCTCTTCTCGCACTCGGTGCACTTGTAGGGCCGCTCCCCCGTGTGGATGCGCAGGTGCCGCGTCAGGTTGGAGTGGTGGCTGAAGTACTTGCCGCACTGCGTGCAGATGAAGGAGCCTTCGCTCCTCCCCGAGTGGATCCGCTGGTGCAGCACCAGGCTCACCCTCTGCTTGAAGCTCTTCCGGCACTCGGCGCAGGTGTAGGGCCGCTCCCCGGTGTGCGCCAGGTGGTGCTTCCGCAGGCTGGACTTGTGGCAGAAGCTGCGCTCGCACTCGGAGCACTTGTAGGGTTTGCTTCCCGCCTGGGCCCCGGGGTGGGGTCTGGGGGTGGGTTTCAGGGCAAAGCTCTCCCTGGGCTGCGGCAGGCAAGCCCCTGCTCCCGTGTGGTCCCTCTGATGCAGGGTGAGATGCTGCCGGCTGCGGAAGGTCTTCCCACACTCGGCGCAGACGAACAACCTGGCTGCCGCGGGGCTCTGCAGGTGAACAAGCAACGGCTTGAGCTCCTGGGGGTCTGTCCCGCACTGAGTCGGCTCCTCCAGGCCGTTTCCGGGCAGGTCCGCGGGCTCCCTCTCAGGGCTGCACAGACTCTCCTCATGGGTCGTTCCCTGTTCCAGACACTGGAAAACCTCCATTTCCGGCAACGTCCTTTGTAGCTCCAGGTGCTCCGGCTCCTCCTCAGGGCTCTCCTCCTCCACTTTGACCACCACCCTGCTATCTGCTGCAACACAAAGAGAATCCAGGCTGTATTCACTGCATAGGCGGGGGATGCAGGCAACCTCCTGAAACTACGGCATCCTGGATTCCCAATGCAAGCCCATGGACGGGCTGGGGCTGACCAGGGCCAGGGAGCTGAACAATCCCCTCACAATACCCCTGGGAAAGAGGGGGCAGTTATAGTGTTTTACTGATCTAAGGCCTCGTCTGCACAGAGCTCCAGGCAAGTCTCCCACTGCCCGGTTCAGTGCCATCGGTGCCGGCCGCCTTTTGGCGCCAGCAGCATCTCAACCACCACGGCACTCTTCCGGAGGGCAGGTGGCGAGAGCGTGAGTGGGCAGTTTGTACCAGCGCTCTCGGGAGGGGAGATCTCCCTCCATTGTCAGTGTACGCCGGCCTCAGTGCTTAGCAGACAGTGTGTGTGTGTGTGAGTGTGGGGGGAACACCTGACTGCATATCTCAGGGGAGGGGTCTGCGATCAGCTGCGCTCTGCAGAACTTTGCTGGGAATGAGTGGCTTTCTCCCCCTGCCCTTAGGATGTAGCCAGCGCGCTGCAGAGCCCAGCCTTGCAGACCACCCAGCCGCAAAGATCCCAAGGCCAGACGGGACCATTGAATCACCCCGTCGGACCGTGCGTATCGCACAGGCCAGAGAACGGCCCCTCCAGCAGGTCTTTTAGAAAATCCCCCAGCCTTGGTTTAAAAATGGTCAGTGATGGAGACCCCGCCCTGTCTGCTGGTAACGCCTTCCAGGATCATTACGCTCGTTGGCAAAAATGGCACCTTCTTTTTAGTCTAGCTTCAACTTCCAGCCATGGGATCCAGCCAGCTTCTTAACTCCCCTCCAGTGGCCTGTCCACTGGATCCCAGGAGGTGAACTGCCCTCCCTCCCAGCCAGAGGTCAACATCGGGGGTTGAGCAAAGCCATTAACACCCTCCCGTGTGGGCCAGGGGCTTGAAATATTGCCTGTCTGGCCCACTGTGATGGGCTCTTTACCCACATGCTAACTCTGCTCCGCTTTCAATCGCCTCCTTCAGCTCTGCACCGTGGCTCCCTTGCTGGTCTGCCCGGCTGTCACTCCTGCGGCCTGTGCGAGCGAGTTCCCTATTCCCTGCAAGTCCCTCTCCTCCTCCAGTCTCCCCTCTCTGCAACATTCACTCGCGGCTTTCCCGGCCCATCTGCTCTGCACACAGTCCCCCCTCCCCGCCCCCAGCTCAGCCCAGCGCCTTCGCTCTCTCCTGCCTCTGGCCAGAAAGCACTTTGTGAGGCTGTCTAGAACTCACCCGAGCAGGGCTCTGGAGGGATCTCTCTGCTCTCGGAGTCCTCCCGATCTCTGACACACGGCTCCTCCCCCTGCTCGATCTGGGACACGATGTCGGGTTTGGAGACGGCGTAGTCTGTTCGTGGGAAGAGATAGCGACACTCACCGGCTACCCGGCACACGGAGCGGGACCGGCTTTCAAACCAGCCCCCTCTGGTCGCGGAAGGTGATGGGATGGAGGCAAACACGACACCAGCAAAGCTGCTCTCCCCACCCCGGTGGGTCAGTGAGGAACCACAGGGAGTGGAGCCCTGCTTGCTCCATGTGGGCTCCGATCACATGACTGCTCCCCAGCCGGGCACGAAGCAGAACAGGTGCCGCTAGCTGATGGGACAGCCGCCAGGACTCACCTCCATGCAGCGAGGGAATGGCACGCGGGTCCCCTAGCCCAGCCGCAGGGAAGGCACAGAGAGAGGAGAGCACCACGGGCATGCACAGGGCCCTCTGGATCAGCAGCTGGGCCAGGCCCCTGCCCCACATGCGCGTGTGTGCTCTGGATGGGGCCCGTTCTCCCCCAAGCGCCTCTGATGAAGTGGCCAAGCAGCATGTCAGTTGTGATGGCTGCGGTCTAAGGGGCGGGAACCTCCTGGACTGACACCAGCATTTAATTCAATAGCTGGTAAGAAGCTGCCTGACCCTCCAGCCCTGTAGCACATGAAACCTGCTGGTGAAGGGCACCGGTAAATTCACGTGAGTCTTACAGTCCCTCAACAGCCACCGGAAGGCAGAGACCTGAAAGTATCCCTCCCCCAGAGCAAGGCGGGTACAGGTTTTATGAGAGGATCCTTACCCAGCGAGATCAGGGTCTCGTAATTCCCCTTCATCACGTTCTTGTACAGCTCCTTCTGCCCACCGTCTAAGTTCTCCCACTCCTGCTCGGAGAAATAGACGGAGACGTCATCGAACGGCACTGGGACCTGCAACCACAAGCATTGCACGCTCAGAAGCAGCTGTCAAATCGTAATGACAGCAGCAGGTGCTGTCACGCGACGCTACAGACGAGACCAGGGGAGAATATTTCACACACATGCCATGGAAACACTTCACAACTTCTTTTCTTCTTCTTCTAAGCACGTTACTGGGCAAACTGCTCAGATCAACTCGCACAGGGAGGAGGAAATAAACATCATCACGTTTCATCCCCCTCTGTCACCCAGGGCTAGATGCTGATACCCTTATTCCTGGTGAATAGGGCGTGACAATCTGAGCCTGTTTCCGCTCCAGAATTCCCTGTCCCCTGCCAGATCTGTCAAAGCTCCTCCTCCCACATGGCCCTACCCGAAGAGGTGAAGTCACCCTAGGAAGCAGCCCCGGGCAGGAGGATCCTTGTCGCATGGGAAGTGACAGGCGCGCTCCAGTGAAGAACACACAGCAGTACAGCCCTTTCTCACTTCATCCCTCTCCTTTCATTGGCCGGGGGGTAGGAAGGAGCAGAAGGGGGTTAATCCGCTCTGTCCAGGGCTTTGCAGTGCCCTCATAGGCTGGTTTAGATCAGATTTATAGATCACCTGGGTCCGACTCCCCTTCCATTGCTTCTGTTACTGGAAGGGCCAGCTGCGCTCAGGGCCCCATTGTGCTGTGTGCTGTATACACACAGGAAGACAGCCCCCTCCCCGCAGAGCTCACAAGGCAGACATAGGGCGGGAGGGGAAAAGGCTCCAAGAAGGGAAGGGATTTGCTCAAGGTCACAGACCAGGTTGGTGGCAGACCTAAGAACAGACCCCCACTCTCCGGATTTCCAGTCCAGTGCACGCTCTGATCCGGTTCAAGATCACTCTCTATTTTTAAAGGGGTGCCCTCAATTTAACCCCCCCACCACACACTTCCCTGTTAATATGTCACTCTTACGGAGCCCAGAACTGAAAGAGATTGGGGAGGGGAGGGATATGCCTCTCTCTTTTTTCAGCCTGTTTGCTATGTGCACGACGGCACCTTTGCGTGAGTCACATTTCCGTCGTCTCCCTTACAAAGCCAGCCAGTTTCCCTGTTGTTTGTGTGGGTCTCCCACACCGCCACGGCTTAACATGAAAGAGCGATTTTCAGACCCTCACGAATTGGCTGGGGGACCCAGGGGTGAAGGATGACCTGAAGCCACTTTCAAGTCATTTCTAGCCATTGATTCTATCCTAGTTCTTTGTATCGTGATCGCCCCTCGTAGTCCCAGTCAGGAGTGCAGTCACTACAACATCGCACAGAAGCGATTCCCTGCTCCAGACACCTCACTGCCCCTCCAGAGCAGAGCTGTGACTGGTGTGTGCACAACACAATGGGAGGAGGAGAGGCAGGTGATGGATGGAATCACAAGGTAACAAGAAGCAGATGCTGCTTCTTAGCCAAAAAACAATTGATCAGCTTAATACCTGTACATCCTGCGTGGGGCTGGGTGGGGTGTTACATCGGCCCTTGCGTGGGTGGAGGAGAAATTGACTCAATGACTTTATAATTTCCCTCCATCGTTAATCAGTCTGATCTAACTAGCGGGGAGAGTTACCTTGGGGACGTCCCCCTTAGTGCCTGGGGGGAGCCTCAGGACCCAGAAGTTCCTGTTCTTCAGCAGGTTCTCCATGTTCTCCAGCCTCCTCTGCAGCACCCCGTACTCCTGGATCAAAGTCTCCAGCACGGCCCACTTACTCTCCAGCTGGTTCCCGAACTCCACCACGGTTTTCTCACAACCTATCAATTTCTTCTCCGCCGTCCCTGTTCTCCCTTCCAGATTCAGCAACCGGATGGCGTGAGCATCAACTTTTCTCTCCACAGCTTGAATGGCAGCCACTAGACTCAGGGAGATCTCCGCAGCGTGCAGCGGGGTTTCTCTCTCAGACGTCCGGCGGGGGAAAGTGTGGGGCTGTGAAAGAGGCCAGTGCTGGGGCTCCATGTCCCATTCTGGAGCCTGCGTGTACGGAAAGACATGGAAAATGGAGCTGGG